TTGCACTACATGTGATTACAAAAGTTTAGACGTGCTCTAAATGCCTATATATGACTTATTTGTCATATTTTGTTTAATGTTATTTACACAGAAAGGAAAGGTAGATAACAGTTTGATAAATAAAAGTAGCCTACTTTACTTTACTATTAGTGTTTGTATTTTGTGTAAAATATTACATTTGGCCCACGGTCCTCCGATAGATTTTCATTTTGGCCCACTAAGGGAAAATGTTTGGGCACCCCTGGTCTAGATCAAGGTCTACTTCAAGCTACCTTTGCTCCATTTCATAGATGAACCCTTTGGTATTAACCCTTCCCATGAATACACTATAGCATCAAAAAACATTGTGTGTGTGTGTAGCACCCCCTTCCTGCCTCCAAGGGAGCATAAAAGAGGTGCCCTAGGTTCGGCTCTGTGGTCTGGCTGAATCTCAAAATGCAGTGCCTTCAGAGCTTTACTAACACAACGTTTATTAATTACAAAAACAGGAAAACAAAAAGGACTCACAACAGAAAAGCAAATGCTTGTGTCTATCGCACCACACCGTTGCGATAGAGATCAGAAGAAATCGACAGCGCTAAAACCTTACAAAACAAAATACCTTAATTTAAAATATATTACCAAGGGCTACACTCTCCCCCTTCTAACTGTTTGATGCTCTCATCAAACTTACAATGCTAGATACTTGACTATTAATCTAATCTAATGCACACAACTAGAACACAATGCCATAGGATGACACCACACAGTATTGCCAAGACAAGATCTGTTACCATCATAAGCACCATATCCAACCCTAACACCACGGCTTAGGATGCCCAGTGCTTGGTCTGAGGGTCTCCCTAGCTCATCATAGGTGAATCGCATCACTGGCCGTCTTTCCCTTCTAGGCCTGTCAGGTAACCCACTCTCTGGAACCACTTCGCCCACAGTGCGTAGGCCAGCTCCCCCTTCTAGACTAGCGGCCTCAACAGAAGCTGATGATGGGGGTAAATACCCATCCACAGTGCTTTCTGGATTGGCTGTAACATCACCTTCCAATTCGACTTCCCCTGTATCTCCTACAAGGGCAACATCATCACCCTCACCAACACAAAAACCTTGGCTCCCCTCAAGTAAGTCAATTGATGGCAAGGCATTTGCCCCATTTTGCCCCACTCCGACTACTGGAAACTGAGCATTAATCTCCGACTCTGAGTCAGACGATGATGGCATGTCGGCCCGTGTCACTGGACTACCCCCCCTTCCGACTGACTGCTTCGCCACTGACTGGCTTTGTGACCTAAGCCCTCTCCTTTAACAAATATGGTCCCATCCTCTCGGTCTGTTGGTATTCTGACTAAACATCCAATGGGAAGCAGGTGTTTCCGGTGCACTGTCTTAATTGCTCCAGTACCACTCTCAGGTTTGACCTGGTACACCGGTAAATTTTCCATCTTCCCAACCACAAAATATGGTAAAGATCTCCACTTGTTCCGTAACTTGTGCTTACCCGGGACATCATAATTCCTAAGCAGTACTCGATCTCCCTTCTGAAGGACTTGGTCCTTCACTAAACTATCATGTGCCCTCTTGTTCCGTGCGTGGTTCTTGTCAGCAGCTTCCCTAGCTAACTGATATGCTTGGTATAAATCTGCCCTCAGTTTGGTGATGTACTGCTGGTATTGTAACCCCTCTGCATTCTCAGGGGACACACCAAAACACAAATCAATGGGCAGGCGGGCTTCCCTGCCAAACATCAGCAAATACGGAGAGTAGCCAGTAGTCTCATTTCGCATGCAATTATAGGCATGCACAAGCTGACTGATCCTCTGACTCCATGTTTGCTTCTGCTTGGGGTCCAATGTCCCCAACATAGACAAGAGAGTTCTATTGAATCTCTCTGGCTGTGGATTCCCCTGAGGGTGATAAGGTGTTGTTCGGGACTTCCGGATCCCCAACATTTTCAGGAGGTCATGAATTAGTTTTGACTCGAAATCCCGTCCCTGATCCGAATGGACCCGTGCAGGGAGTCCATAGTGCAGAAAATATTTCTCAAATAGCACTCTAGCGACAGTAGAGGCCTTCTGGTCCTTTGTTGGAAAGGCCTGAGCATAGCGGGTAAAGTGATCAGTCACTACGAGCACATTTCCAAATCCATGTGAGTCAAGCTCAAGGGACAGGAAATCAATGCACACTAGGTCCAGTGGTCCATTACTGACTATCTTGTTCAATGGGGCCGCTCTCTGAGGGGGAGTCTTGCATGCAATACACCTGCCACAATGTCGAACATAATCTTCAATTTCAACATCCATCTTTGGCCAATAGAACCGGTCCTTAATAAGCTCTGATGACTTCTCGGACCCTAAATGGCCACAGTCATCATGTAAAGACTTAAGTACCATGGGAACATACACTCTGGGCAAAACAATCTGCTGCACTTTGGAGCCAGATGGCTTTTTCACCACCCTATAAAGCAGACCACCTATCACGTGCAGTTTTGGACACTCCCTCCTCAATAACATCGTCTCCCGATCCTCACCAGGAACATAAGCAGGTAAGTGCCCCTTCTTGACTGTCTCCTTAACTGAGGATACAACCGGGTCAGCATCCTGAGCCTTACAAAGCTCAGTGCTGCTAAGCCGCTCCAGGCACCCCACATCCAAGCGTGCTGGAAAAGCATAACAATCAGGGATAGCTCCTGATGAGGCCCCAAGGTACTCTGCACACTTAAACTGGGTTCCTCCTATCTCCCCACAAAGTACCTGCTTGCAGAGTACCTTAAGGCTCTCCGAGGAGATCTCTTCCCACTTGTCCCCCTTTCTCTGGAACACGTTCCGCGATAATGCGTCTGCGTCGATGTTACTGCGACCTGGACGGTACAGAATGGTAAAATTGTAGGTAGAGAGTGCAGCAAGCCAGCGATGACCTGTTGCATTTAGTTTTGCCCACTTTAATGCCAAAAACTCAAGCTGGTGAACAGGGTAGTTCTTCTCGGAGGAGCTGAACTTCCGACTAGCGAACGCGACTGGCCTCAAACACTCTGAGTACTGCTGATTCAATACTGCCCCAAGTCCATGAGAGCTGGCATCAACATGCAATACATACGGCATGGTAGGGTCTGCAAAAGCCAAAACAGGTGCATTAATAAGACAATGAACTATTTGCTTAACTCTCTGGGGACGAGTATGTCGTCGGCGACATCGCGTACTTTTCGCGTCTATTTCAGTTTATATCTCGCTGAAATCTTAATGTAGAATC